TTTGTTCAAAGACTTGAAAATGTAGAAGATGTGAAAAATTGTAGAACAGACAGGAGCAGTAAACGTTTGCTCTCCCTTGCAACCCGGAAGTATGTTGCTTTCTGGTAGAACAATCCCCTCAGTTCTGACTACCTTCCCTCCTTGTTACCATTTGACCACACTTATCCAGTTCGCATGACATTCCAGTGTCCTGGCTGTAGATCCTAGTGGTGTGGATCAGTGAGTCGATGTCTCGTTCACTCCTGGCATACAGCTTGATGTCATCCATGTAGAAGAGGTGGCTGATGGTTGCTCCATTCCGTAATCAGTATCTGTAACCACTCTTGGTGATGATCTGGCGGAGAGGGTTCGGCCCTATGCAGAACAGCAGCGGGGACAGAGCATCTCTTTGGTAGGTACTACAGGTATGTGCCGGCTCATCTTAGCTGCTATGATGCTATGATTCCTGACAAGAGCTTCCATGTTGTGCAGAGGCAGGTTATTGGGCGGTAGTTGGATGGTACTCCTCCCTTCTGAGGGTCCTTCAGGATCAGGACTGTCCGGCCTTCAGTTAACCACTCAGGGTGGGTTACATCCATTAGTAGCTGGTTCATTTGTCCCTCCAGGCACTCATGGAGTGAAGTTAGCTTTTTTAACCAGTAGGTGTGGATCATGTCAGGGCCTGGTTCTGTCCAGCTCTTCATACTTGAGACCCTCTCTTGAAAGTCTTCCATTGTGATGGTTACTAGATCTTTTTCAGGGAGGTTGCTGTGGTCTACTCGCAGGTGCACCAGCCACTGGGCATTGTTGTTATGTGATGCTTCCTTCTCCCATATGCTCTTCCAGAATTGTTCAGTCTCCAGCCTTGGTGGGTCTGCTCTCACATCATTACCCTGCCACTGAGAGTACCTTAGAGTCTGCCAAGCAATATATATGCTGGCTTAATGTGTTTCATGAGGGCAAAACCTGTTTGAGGAGGTGTGGCTAGATGAAGCCAGGTCTAAGTAATTCAATTGAATGTGTGTTCTTCAACAGACTGCAAGGTTTATCACACATGTAGTGATGCCTACATACAAGCTGCATTCCATTTGGCTGTGCTGGCATGCCTCATGTTAAATATTGGCATTAAAATGAACGATGACCACGACCAACGAATGCACCATACTGGTTGGGTTTTTGAGCACACCCATCTGTGACATGTGCAGCATATTTCAGACCCACAGAGCATGCCCACTCATAGGTGCGCCAAGCACATAATCCCCCAAAATGGGAAGACAGCTGCTGTAGTAAAACAGCAAGAACAAGTATGGCAGGCGGTAGTGGACCAAGTGAATGCATTAAGTTGCCTAAAATATACATTTTCTAACTACTGTTCTTAACTGCGTTATTCAAAAAATATCCATAACGGTATCATGAGGTTGAATTTCACATGTATACTGATGACACTGTTGAATATACACATGCAATAATACCTGAAATAGTAGCTGCAAAGTTGACAGCTGCCATGGAGGGATCATACAATGGCTTTGTTAATCATGTCTTAGCCTAAATGTAAGATGAAAGGATGTAAATATTTTCATCAGGGGTGGAACAATTTAAGAATGAAATAGTCAAATGTAATTATCTTGGCATTATATTGATGCCAAATCCTAATTTTAGAAAAAGTTTTTTAAAAAACCACATGAAATACAACTTGGTAAATTATAACAAATTTGAAGTAGTCTATGGATGCAGCTGAGATATTTATGTATGCTATGACCCTTTGCCGTATGCATTACATGCTGGAACAAGCAGGAGAGACTATTAGAGTCTTTGTATAAACAAAGTTTGGATTTAAAAATGCAGTATCACTGTAGGGTTACTGGAAAACCCCATACTTTTGAGAATTTTTGATTAAATTCAAATTTGTCTTGTGTACAAAATTTTAAACAGTTTGGCTCCTTTTCCCTTGTTTAACTTTGTTTTTGCCTCTCGGCACATTCCATGAAATCATTAGGAATAGCTTCTGTGGGAGACTGTATTGTACCTTTTTGCTGTACCACATTTATGCAGTCTGTATTATCTGTGAAAGCTACGTCTCAATGGACTTTCAACCAGATGATAATGTTACAACTTTTTTAGGTGTTTCAAGGCTAAATTGAAAAAGCTGCTAAAAGGATAGTCAGTCATGTAACCCTTGAGTTTAGGGTTTTTTGTTGTGCTTAGCATTGTATTAGTTTTGTTACTGTGATTATGCCCTGCCAAGGAAGTGCCGCCATGGCTAAGAAAAAGGCAGACTAAGTGTCAGAAAAATGAGCTGGGTTGAAAATGTTCTGAACAGTCTCTGGGTGAGCTGGCTGTCTATAGCCTCTGACTGGTGGTCTGAGGCTCTGAGTCTAGTGTACAGGGTGTGGTCAGCCACCTGTGCCCCAAACCTCTCTTCCTGAAGGCAGACAGTGGCTGAGGAACAGATGGAGACAGTGTCCGGGTAGAGCCAGGGCTTAGATTCAATGGCAGGTGGAGGCTCTTGATCGCACTGCTGTGGCATTGATTGATCAGTGCCCTTGGGCTGGCTCTTAGTCATAGACTTCCTCAGCCCAAACACTCCTGGATGAATGGCTAAACAAGATTTAAATTGAGTTCAAAAGCTGGAACCGAACAGGCACTAAGGGGGTCTGCCTTTACAGCTTGGAGTCGAGAAAGGCTGTCTATAGCCTCTGAGGAGTTCAGGGCTACTTCAGCTGGCTGACAACAGTGATTCATTTCTAAATGCGACAGACAGAGACGGGGTCCAAGCGTACTACCCCAATCCTGAGTTGGGAATAGCTTCTCCGGAGACAGCTGCAGGACTGGCAGGACTGTTGCTCAAACTCTGGAGAACCATGTAACCGTTAGTTGATGGGATCATAGAGAAAGGGGTTGGTTTGGTGTGTTGAAGAGAATCAGCCAAAGCACGTCTGAGATCTCCGAGTAGAGAAAAAGCCACATTTTTCTATGAAATAAATTGAGGATAATCCCTATATTTATCATGCTCAAAAATCTCATCTGACAGCAAGGTAGAAAAAAGATGACAGACAATGATCGATTTCTTCCTGTAGTTCACGCAATGTTGTAGACACTGAAGAATAGCTGGAGGAAGTCATAATAAGTAATGAGTTCCCTGCCTATGGTGTCAGCTGGGTCCGAGAGTGGCCAGATTGTAATGTCAAGGTTTGGTTTTATAGGAACCCAAATGCAAGACACCAGATAGCGAGCTGTTAAATAGTTTTATCATTATAACGAGGGATGAATGTGCTCAGCTAGTAGAGGAAGTCCTCAGAATAAAATAATCTCATCTCTCATGTTTATTTCTTTATTCCTGCAGGAAAAATGAGCAGAGGATGACAGGAGAGTCCAAAAGGCAGCAGTGGAGAGATGGTGAACCGTAAACCTGGCAAGATTGTGAACTTGGAGCATAAGCAGGTGAGTCTTTACAGCAGCTACAAAGGACCAGCAGGTAGGTAACAAGGTGAGGGCCTGAAGATAAAATAATAAGGAGTGAACCTGGAAAGTGAACAGGCAGCTGCACAGACTGGCAATGATAGTCCGGGGCTGACAAAAACCAAAAAACCTCTGAGGTTTGCACACAGGAGAATACAGTATACAGAGCTCAGAAGAAAACTAAAAATACTGCTACAACACAGAGTTCCACATAAAACAGGCAGCGGGGAAAAAGACAGGGGTTTAGACAGACTTACAGATCCATAAGGTACAGGGAGGGTCAAACTAAAACAAAAAAACAGGTCAGCACATGGCCAGGGATGTGTCCATACAGGAGAGTGGCTGGATAGTCCTCATGGCAGATATGACAATGATTTGGCAACTAATAGACAACATAGATCTGGCAAAATTGTATGAGGCCACAACAAGCCACAGGTGACTTGTGTCATCCACTGATTAGTTGTGATAAAACTGGAGCTGGTGATACTGTGAAAACCAGGAAGTGTCTTCCAAAATAAGAGTCTCAACCCAGAAGCCAGGGATGGATCATGACAGCCAGTCAGTGTTCACAGGAGCAGTCCACTTGCAGCTTCTGCTGTCTCTGCTGAACTGGTCCAGCTTATGTTATATGGAAGTCATATGAAAATGTATTGAAATGTTTTATTTATTCACACTTGAATTTTTTAATAGTTAGTCTTATTTTTGGAATAATGACATCATTGACTTTGAAATTCTGAACTACAACTCTTTATCTACATCAACTTTATCTGCGGACAGAGGCGCAAGCCTCATATACAAATTAAAAATATATCCTTTATTCAACCAGTAGGCCATCATTCTCACTGTGATGTTGATATGGTATTTTATGGGGGCCTGGTGGGGATCTCTTTCAGCAATTTAAAGTTTCCAGATGAAGCATGACCATGACAAAAGACACAGAGAGAGATGTATTTCATGATATATAAGACCAAAATCATGAAATAATGAATAAATTATCTGTCTGCTAAAGCACAGATGACATGAAGACTCATTGTCCCTCACTCTCTTTCAGTGGACATCAGACCTGTAGTGTAAACATGTTAAACCCCCAAATGAAACCTCTCCCATGTTCCAAATGATATTTCCCCATAGAACCCAAATGTAGCATGTTATTTTCAAAGTACTGTGAATGGATGTCACTTCAGACAATGGAGCATGCTATACCACACAGTGCTTGATTTAAGAAACACCTATGTTTAAAACTGATATTCATCATCAGATCCTGTTTCTGAATAATATCCATTTTTTCAAAATGTCACATTTTCCCACATTTCATAATTTTCTTGTTTTCCAGGTTACATGACTATACAAGCCATGATCATTCATGATTATGAGACCAAACATAGTTTTCTGCAATGCCAGTTTTACCTGCAGTCTTCAGCTTTACCTGCACAAATAATAACAAATGCAATTTGCCTCTTTAGTTGCCCCCCCACCGCCACCTCAAGGCTCATAAATAACACTAGAGAAAAGATCATACCACACACACACACATGCACAGACCAACGCCAGGTGCAGCCCACCATTTTTGATGACCAGCGATGTGGAGGAGGAGCTGGGGGGTCCAGAGGTCTCACTGGTCTCAGCGCTGGAGGGGGTCAGTGGACTGCGGCCCCAGGAGGTGACTGGGGCCCTCTGGGAAGGCAGGAAGCTGGTTGGCTGGGAACAGTTCTGTAAATACATCACAGCCCAATCAGAAGTGCTGCAAAAAGATGAACTTATCACAAAGAGTATGTACTAGTTTGCTACACTAACACTATAATTGCCCACACAAAAGTAGAGTGGTCAGAGTTCCAGTAAAATAAACATTTGTAAGGAGGGAATTTATTTTCTGTCCTACTGATGGATCTGATCACTGCTGTGTGCTTTTTACTCACTCACCGTGAAAGATAAGGCCTTTCTCTTTTCTTTGATCCTCTTTATGGCATTCCTCACCTAGATGAGAAGCAGCTTTTACACCCACTCACATACCATACAAAGATACATTCTGATATTCTGCCGCAATGGCAGCAGGCAGCGGCACTAACAATGCACTGAGTGCCTTCTTACCTCACTGTTGTAAACAGCATACACTAAGAAGATGTACAGCCCCTGTGGAGAGGAGAAAGACACATTAGAAGACGAAAGCTGGAGAAGAATAAACTCCATTCATACAGCTCTGATTGACAATATGGATCTACATCAAGTCCAATTAGAGCTCCACTCTGTTTTCTCAGTCAAACCATGCTTTTCTCTTTACCAACAAAAAGAGGAACACATTGCTAAATACCTTTCCATGCTTTCAGTCTGTGTGGTTGTGTACTCCCTTTTGGCACAAACTTCACTTGGATTCAGCAGGGTGTGGCATGCAGAACCCATCTGAACTTAATCCAGACTGGCTCTCTCTTGTTTTAAAATTCAAGTGATGTACTCAAGATCTGGAAATACTATAAAAATATGATCCCTTCACCCAACCATCAATATTCCACTGCAGCAGTACAAGCCCAAACACCTCTTAAGACTGTGTTACACTTAAAAAGAGGAAGTTTGTACTGTGTGTATGTTGTCCAATCACACTAGAAGGCAGAGGGGTAGTACAGTAGGTGTTCCACCTCCATTTTGGAAGGCAGTGTGACAAGCCCACTATCATAAAGGCAAGATCCAATCACCTCACTACTGAGCGAACAGTGCACATTTTCAGACAGTCAGTGCAGAATGCATCGACAGTATTGCAGTCCAGAAATAGCTGGAGACAAGCTGATATTACTTCTAGTAAACTATACTGGAACCTTTAGCTGCTGTTTTTGTTGAGAAAAGCCCTCTGGTGGTGTAAACCAGACTATCTCAAAGAATACTAAAATACAAATTCAATGCACATTGCTTGTACTTCTATGCAACTTTATATTTCAACTCCACTACAAGTCAGAGGTGAATATTATACCTTTTACATCCCTACATTTATTTGATCACTAGAGTTATAATACTAGTTTGTTTTTCAGATTCAGTGAAAACCACATATCTCCAAATCTGGTGATTATGAATTTGAAATTTTTGAATACTGTGAAGAATTAAGAGTACCTTTTTAAATAAATTTTCTTATGTTATAAGCTATTTTTTTAACTGCCCATGTATTAGGTGTAAAATTCATTGTCACTTATCTGTTAGAAATATATGGTTCTCAAGGGACAGCAACCCTACAAACATGAATCTTGTAGTATATGATGAATTGTTGTAGATTAAGCTCCCCACAGTATATAAAGCATTAAACATATGCAATGCATGAAGGGAGACTGGAGGCTCTGCCTGTGGTTTGTTTGAAATTTGTAGACTGCAAGATTTTACTCTGCACTGGAATCATCAGCTACACAAAATAACATACAGCTTGGGACTTGAACATGAACACTGGAAACAGCAGAGACACAAAACTAGACAAGGACCATCAGACCCAGCCCATGCCCAAAGGTGGGACTCAACCTCATTGGGGTGGGGGTCTAATCACCTCCACCTGCATCTTGCTAGTTCCCAGTTCAGCTCCCTACATATACGCCCTTTTTTTCCGTTTGTCCCTCACTGGTTCATCGCTTCTCTAACCTGATTGCTGACGATCACACGCCTTGTTTGCCAATGACTGTCTTGCTCTCTGGTGTAGGCGAATCAGCTACAGCACGCTCTCCTGCTACAGTGTTGACTCATCTGCAACACTGACAAGCAATGCCGACAAGGTATTATCACCTACAGTGCCTACTGCGAATCCTCCTGCCTGCTAGCCATGCTGTCATTTGTTCTTCCCCAACTAGTCACCTAGTTGTCAACTCACCTGCAACACCAACAAGGTATTGTCAGCAATACCCGCTACTCTTCCCTCCGACCTCAGCCAACTCTCCTTCTCCACTCACCTGTATGCCACAGTTCTCTGGTTCCCCTGAGTCCTGCTGTCTGGCTTCCACAACTTGCACGCCAAGGTCCCCCAGGTCCAAATGGTCCCTGCCTGACCTGCCCCCAGCTCTTCGCTGCTCATCCCGCCTGTCCTGTCCAGAACCAACTCTGCCTGCCTGTCTTTACCAGAACCTGCTCGGTCTCTGTTCTCCTGTCTCCTCCACCTGGTACCCGTTCCTTATTTAAAAAACTCCTGAGTCTGTGTATTGGGTCCACCTGTACCTGTCCAACCCTAACATCAGGCTTTGGGTCTGTTAACCCCTTTAAGCTTTCAAAAGCATTAAATAAGGAAATAGGTGATGTGTTTCATGCTAGTTCTCTGGCAGCTAGGAACACCTGGAAATAAGTTTGTAATTCCTGAGGATTTTGTTTTGGTTAACAAAAAATCTTTTCTGGCAGAGACTATGTGGCAATTAAACTGGTGGCCATAAACAAGTCAGATGCAGCATGAAAAGTTGCTACTGGTGCTGAGAGATTGTTGGGAATTGTAGGCATAACTCCGCAAGAGCTTTGGGTAATGTTTTGCTCACAAAATTCTGAGACAAGGTCACAACAAATAAATGGAAGATGAGATGATCCTGCGTTGAAGTTGAAAAGAGATAAATGAGGAAGGTCTATTTGATGATTAGTATTTTGTTAATGGCTTATGCCCTGCAGTGGCATGCTAGAAGAACAGCCAATGGACAAGAACTGAAAAGATTTTTAGCTGTTTTAAAAAAAAAACTTGAATTAGTTTGTATAAAAAAACATTTTGTGGTCCCAAGATATACTGTATAAGTGAAAGAGCAGACAGAATAGATTTTAAAGAGTATTTAAGAATTAAAATATAGGATCAAGAAGATTTAATTATAATAGAGCAAACTGGGAAGTGTTTGAGGAAGAAACAAAGATGGAGGTGAGAAATGTGAAAATGAACAGGGTATAGATAAATGGACTAGTTCAATATTTGAAGCTATAAGGTTAGTGGCATCTAAAGTCATGATATTAAAGAAGATACCAAAGGAAAAACCAGCTGTTCTGTTGTGGACTGAATCCTGTAATTTAGCTGTTTGTGCTCAGAATAAAGCCTACAGAAAATTGAGGAGGCATCCAATGAAACAATATGCTACTGAATATAAAAGATTAAGAGCAAAAGCAGAAAAAGCCATAAAAGAAGCAGAGAGAAGTAGTTGGCAGACTTTTTGCAGCATGTTAGGACTGGACAAGTCTCAGACAAGTTTGGAGTTTAATTCAGCATATGACAGGGGCATATAAGAAGACAAGTAAACCAGTCCTTAAAAATCATAATGATGTGGCAGTAAGTAATAAAGATAAGGCAAATATTCTGGCAAAATCAGTCCAACAAGTGCATAGTTAAGAAAATGTTGGAGTGGAGAATAGTAAATCAACAAAGAACAAGGTACATTACAATGTAATTATGATAACTCAGGTGCTATTAATCTCTTTTCACCATGAAGAGTTGAAGGGAGCATTTAAATCAGGTTCTGATATCACACCAGGAGCAGACTGTTTGGGATATCCAGTATTTAAGCATTTAGGAGACTAACAGAAAGCATATGATGAGTTATATGCCAGGTTAGACATGAGGGAAGGTGAGAAGGACTTGTACAGATTAGTGAGACAGAGAGATAGAGATGGCTAGGATAAGCAACAGATAAGGGCGATTAAAGACAGAAATGGAAAGGTGCTAACAAGTGAGGAGAGTGTGCAGAGAAGATGGAAGGAGTATTTTGACAAATGAGGAAAATGAGAGGGAAAGAAGGGGGAAGAGGTGAATATTGTAGAACAGGAAGTAGCAAAGATTAGAAAGGATGAGGTGAGGAAGGCTCTGAGGAGAATGAAGAGTGGAAAGGCTGTTGGTCCAGATGACATACCTGTAGAGGTGTGGAAGTGTCTAGGAGAGACAGCAGTGGAGTTTCTATCTAGTTTGTTCAACAGGATTTTAGAGAGTGAGAAGATGCCTGAGGAATGGAGGAGAAGTGTACTAGTGCCGATCTTTAAGAACAAGGGTGATGTGCAGAGTTGTAGCAACTACAGAGGTATAAAGTTGATGAGCCACACAATGAAGCTATGGGA